AAATCAATTAATGATTATTTGGTTAACATTCGAGATGAAGTAAGGAGTAGATACTTAGCAAAAGGCCCTTCTCAACCAAGAGGACAAATTTTTCCTCAAAGAAATATTAGTGGATGCTTGAGAAGATATCGAGAAAAATGGTTTGATAATTTTTGTTGGTTAGAGTATAGTGCATCGAAAGATGCCGCATTTTGTTTATGGTGTTATTTGTTCCCTACCGGTAATAAAAATGGAGATGATGTCATTACGGAAAATGGTTTTACAAATTGGAAAAAGGCATTTCAAAAGTTTCGAGATCATGAAGGGGGTAATGATAGTAGACACAATAATGCTAGAGTTCAATTTGAGTCATTTGAAGATAAAAGGCATAATTTGGTGAATACGTGGCATAAAACAACTAAAGAGCATGAGAATGATTATCGCATTCGGTTGACTGCGGTAGTGGATGTGATTCGATTCCTTCTAAAACAAGGTTTGCCTTTTCGTGGAAATGATGAGTCCGTAACTTCTTTGAATCGTGGTAATTTTCTTGAACTTGTTAAATGGTATTGTGAGCATAATAAAGAAGTTAATAGGGTGATGAAGTTAAATGTTCCAGGAAATTACCAATTGACTTCACCAAAAGTTCAAAAGGATATTGTTAATGCATGTGCTACAGAGGTGAGAAATACTATTGTGAATGAGATTGGAGGAAAATTCTTTTCTATTTTGATTGATGAGGCTCGTGATTGTTCTACAAAGGAACAAATGGCTATGTGTTTGAGATTTGTGGATGAGGATGGAGAAGTGATTGAACGATTTCTTGGGGTAGTCCATGTTAGTGACACTTGTGCATCATCTTTGAAGAGTGCTATTGAAGGTTTTTTCACAAAACATGGATTAACTATGTCTAGACTACGAGGACAAGGCTATGATGGGGCATCCAATATGCGAGGTGAGTTTAATGGACTAAAACAAAAAATTTTGGATGAACACAAATCTGCATTTTACATTCATTGTTTTGCTCATCAATTACAGTTAGTTGTCGTGGCTACCTCATCGGAGCTTTCTAGTGTAAAATACTTTTTTGATTATCTTGGTATGATTGTGAATATTGTTGGAGCTTCATGTAAAAGGAAAGATGCTATTCGTCAAAAGCAATATGATGATTACGTTGCACGTATAGAGATGGGTGAAATTTCTACAGGAAAGGGAAAAAATCAAGAAATGAGCTTGCACGTCAGGGTGACACTCGTTGGGGATCTCACTTTAAAACAATTCATAGACTTTTACAATTGTGGACTCCGGTAAGAGAAGTACTTATTGCTTTGTCTAGAGAAGGCGATGGAAAAATTAAAGGCAATGCTTTGAGTTTGGCCGAGAAAATGGAAAGTTTTGAATTTGTGTTCATTGCTCATTTGATGATGAGTTTACTTGAAAAGACAAATGATCTTTCGCAGGCCTTGCAATTAAAGAATCAAAATATAGGCAATGCTGTCCAATTGATTGAAGATGTGAAGTATGATTTGAAGAAGTATAGGGATCATGGGTGGGAGGAGTTATTGAAAGAAGTCATCATATTTTGTTCAAAAAATGATATTGGTGTGCCTAATATGGAAGATATCATTCCAGGCCGAGTTAGGAGAACAATTGATGATGAGCCACAGACTTACCGCCATCGTTATCAAGCAGATATTTTTTATCAGGTATGTTATTTTTCATTATTGAAATTAACAATATGTAACATTTGTTTTTCATGTTATGAAGTATTAATTATATATATTTCTTATAATGCTAGGTTGTTGATCTTCTTTTCAATGAAATGAATGACCGATTTACAAAGACAAACTCAGAGTTGCTTATGTGTATAGCATGCTTTGATCCTAGGGATTCATTTAGCAAATTTAATAGTGAAAGGTTAGTACGTCTTGCGGAGTTATATCCTGAAGATTTTGTTGGTTCTGATTTAAATCTTTTAAGAACACAGTTGAACCGGTACATTGAGAATGTGAGAAAGAATGAAGCTTTTTATGGACTTCATGACATCGGAGAACTTGCAAAGAAGATGATTGTAAAGGGATATCACACTATTGCAAAGAAGAGGATGCTTTACTATATCGTCTTCTCGAGTTGACTTTGGTTTTGCCAGTTGCAACAGCTACTGTCGAAAGGTCTTTCTCCGCAATGAAGTTTATTAAGACTGATTTGCGCAATAAGATGGGTGATAATTTTCTTACTGATTTGTTGGTGTGCTACATTGAAAAAGAAATTTTTGCAAGTGTTGATAATGAAGTAATTATGCAGCGGTTTCAAGACATGGGACCTCGAAGATCACAATTACCTGCTACCACTCGTTCTCGTCTTTGTAATACATTAGTTGGGAGGCAAAAAGTAATTATACCATCACTAGCAAGTGCAAAGAAGAAATAAGCCACTTGAGATGACTTTGTCGATAAACTTTATTTTTTACGTTATTATTTTTTTCTAGTACATGTAAGAATTACTCTTTTTCGACAAGTGAGAATTACTTTTTTCTTTCGACCCTCCAACTTGAAAGTTCTAGTTCCGTCACTGAGTACAAGAGAACCAGGCCGCTTTTGCCCCTTGACGTTTGAAAATAGATAATGCCCTTATTGCGCATGAGGTCATCGAGTTTATTAGAAAAGAGAAAGATAGAAGACAAAACTATGCGGTACTTAGCTGGATATGAGAAAAGCCTATGACAGCGTATATTGGAACTTTTTGGATAAAAATAATAGAGAGAATGGATTTCTATAGTTGTGGAGGAACTGTGTCATGCAATGTCTCATTACAGTAAGAATGAAGGTTGCTTCAATGGTGTGACCTTGGAGGAGTTCATCCTCATTAGAGGCCTAGGCAGGGTTGTCAGTTGTCTCCGTTTCTATTTATCTTGGCTCAGCAGGCGTTCTCATCATTGTTAGGTGCTCCAGGTTTCAGAAAGTGGAACATGTGGTGATATTGGGAGAGGAGTATCGAGAGTCTAGCTTTTCATGTTTGTGGACGATTGTTTCATCTTAGTAGGAAATTTGTGGAAGGGATTATCCAATTGGTGGAGATGTTGAAGACTTCTTCGGCATACGCAGGCTAGCGGCTTTTAGAAATCCTCCCTGCTGGTAAGTCCTTATATTGAAAGGTCTATGCATTCTTATCTACAACTCATGCTTAATATAGATAAGAATTTTCTTGAGAAAAAAATACCTAAGTTTAACCTAGATTTCGAGAAAAAGAAGTCACAAATATTCAACCCTCTCTTAAATACGATTCAAGCAAAGATTAAGAAATGAAGGGTGGAGGATGTGTCAGTGCAAGGGAGGGTGACCTTATCAAAACATGTTTTGGGTACAACGTCACAATATGTGATGGGAGTGTTCAAAATTTCGAAAACAATCGCGGACAACATTGATAGGCATTTGGAAAGGAAATGTGGATGTCAGGGGGATCTATTGGAAGGCATGGGATGGGCTATGTAAGTCATGGTAGAGAGGAGGTTTGGGGATGAGGAAACTACACTGGTGAATCAAACTTCTATGAGAAAATTAGCAAGAAAGATGGGGGTGAATGGTGACTTCTTTTTGTAAAGTTCTTCACATCGAAGTACTGTCGCGGCCTGGACTTCTGGAAGGTTCAACAGAAGAACTAATCCCTGGGAGTGAAAGAATATTCTATGGGGGCCAGACCTAATAAAGAGAGGGAGGAGGGGGAGCTGAAGTAGAAGGTCGGCGATGGGAGGTCAATATGGATGGACGCTTATAGCTAACCTGTTGCCAAGGGGAGCGGGAGGGCTGATCTGCTGGATATGAGGGTAACAGACCTTATCTATGAGGGGAGCAGTGGAGAGTGGAGGATCTGTCCCGTTTATTTCTTCCCATATAGCACAACATATCGGGGCAATCTACATGGGGGAACCGATCTCTCAAACTCGAAATAAGCCTTATTATGAAAGTATGGAGTTTATACTGTACAGTCAGGGTATTGTGAAGAAGGGATGCCATCTTCGTCAGAAAGCCCAGCAACCAAAATAGCCCAGGGAGAGCTTTTGAAGGCTCTTTTAAAAAGTACTCGTCCATTGGAAGATTTCATTCTTTTGTGGAGGGTGTTGGTGAATGCTTGCCCTCCAACAGTGCAATTGTAAAAAGAGGAAGAATGATCCCGTCGATATGTCAGAGATGTGGCTGGATGGAGTATACAATGGAGCATATGTTGTTAGAGTGCATTGAATCTAAAGTGCATTGAATGTCAAAGAGTACAGAAAATGTCAAGGTTTGGGTTTGACATTACCCAATGGGAAGGGATTTAGTTCAGCGCGTAGTTTGCGAATTGGATCCTAGTAGGCGCCGAATGTTGAGGATGTCGGTTCTCGGTAGAACTATATTGTGTGTCATCTAGGTAGATAGGAACAGTCTGATGTAGAGGGAGGAGTCCTACGACATACATAAGTTCCTGAAAGAAGCATATTTCCTTACAACAATGGTCAGTAGGCACGACGCATAAAGGCCACCTGTAAGGGTGACAACAAGGATAAGGTTGGCACGATGGCCACAGGGTCGGGGAGCCGATCCTCCTGTTGATGGTACTTCTATCCGAAGTCAGCGCCCTCTTTAGGTGTGCTTAAAGGACGGAAGAGAGGATAATATGGTAGTTATAATGTTGATTGATGGCACGTTCAAGAAAGAGTCTAAGGTAAGAGCATAGACTGTTATAGCGAAAAATAAGACGTTAAGCATTTAAAAGCGCATGCTAAGAAGGATTATTCATTGAACGCAACTCATATAGAAAGAACTGCAAAAGGCATTGGAAGCCTTGAGGATGACGCTTTCGTACGGCTGGTCATCCGCCAAGGTGAGGACGGATAGCGTAAATGTGGTTTAGTTTTTAGTTAAGGTAGGGAACTGGTACCAATAGTTAAAATCCAGAATCTTACATCTTCTACCAGTGTGTATAGCCGTGTAAGATAGTTAAAGTACGGCAGATTGTGCGTAACTGAGACCGGCAGATTGTGTGTAAGGGAGACCCATAATACGGCTAAGGAGTATTAAACTCTATTAAATACTAGTGCTATTGTCAGAGAAAAATTAGGAAAAATATGATGATCCATTTAATATAACATCTGTTATCTCCTTTAAAAAATACAGGTACAGAAACAACAAAGGTATAAGAAAGAAAATTGGATTACACATAATAGCCACCTCTTCTTTTTAACAGGATGTACACATAAAGCTGCACCAGATTTCCCACGTCACTTGCATTTTAACAGGTTATAGGCTGGTAAATCTCGTATAGATGTTACATCTTCTAGCACAAGTTCACGCTCCAGCTGTGTTCTTGCTGATTTGAGAACATCCTGCATTTATGACTTTGATATAAATGACTTCTATACTCAAAATTTATTTTTTTCGGTGTACATTCATTGAATTTAACAGTCACTGGGTTTTAAACTATGACGGACAAATGAAATGACGAAATGATATGGACGATATAGAAGTACACAACACATCAAATGTTCACTATTGAACGACAGATGATTTCAAATCATCCCCATTGTTTCATTGACTCTTAAATTATTAAAAAGAATTGTGCATTTAAAAAAAGCAACAAATTCATCTTTTGATTAGTGACTTCTATTAGATACAAAAAAAAAAATACTACCTCTTTCCGAAAATACTTCACATTGAGTTTTCGGATTTGTAATGTTTTTAGTTCTATCCCCAAAAACATACTCCGCATTAAGTTTTCAGATTTGTAATGTTTTTAGTACAAAATTTAAAACTCAACGTATACTATTTTTTTGGGACTAAAACTCAATTTTTATTTTTTCCAAATGGTCATATCAATCACTGAACAATTTCAAAAAGACAAATTCACTCACAAAGTTTTGGTCCCTTTTTTTATACAACTTAGTTTATATGCAAAGCAGAAACACAACGATACTCACATTAAATTCCATGTATGAAGCACGTCTGGCAAGCCACTGAGCATCTAAGAGTTGAAAGGCAATACAGAAAAGATTGTCAAAGGCCATTTCATCTTCACTAAGAAGCTCTAAAAAGCGGATGCCGGCCAAGCTGCTTGGTGTGCCTAGAAAGTCATAATAATCAAATAATCTTGAGAAACTATCAAATACTTGCTGCTTCAAATAGCAAGAAACTGAAACTCAACATACAAACAACATTATGGAATGTTTATGTCATGCAAATGCTAAGGGCCCCAGAAAATTTTGTCTCATTTCCATCTTAAACCTAAATCCTAAAGCATACTTCTCAATTGAATCACTGTTTTCGTTTGTCCTATTTTCTTAGAGCTTTTGTACATTTTCCAGTGCAATTTTAAATTCAAACTAAAAGAAATAAAAACAAAATGTTGTCCATAAAGGCTTTAGAACTCCATAACCACCTGTCACTTTAGAGATAAATACGCAAGCTGTTTTTCAATAAGGAGCGATTAGAGTACACTATAAAACTCTACGCAGATGCGCTCTAAAAAGAATCAGCAACAGAAAATTGGGTTCCTCAACCATCTGTCTAAATGAGTGAAATGGGCCAAAACCAATTTTTAGTTATCCAACTCCAAACCATCTCATTCATGTAAAATGCCCTGATCAGACAATTGACATGGTTGAAATCAGAAAACATGTTATGCTGCCAAAAAGTACCCTAAAACGGAGAAATTCTTCTCATTACAAATTTATGGCCTGTTCAAATTTGGTAGGTTTTCAGATCTCGCATGTACTTACATAGCTTGACTAGTGATATCCGAAAATGATTTCAATCACATCATTGGTTTCTAGTTTTTCCTATCTACCAGCTGTCCCTGGATAAATAACCTAATGAATCCTTTTGATAACATTGAGTCTATGAATTGTGTTTTGGATTCCATTAATAATGTAAGAACTTGATCTGCAAATGTTAAGAAACATACACTGAAATTGCACAGAACACAATTACAAAACAAACAGAAATCAAACAAAAGGGTCATGTCCTCAAGTCATGGAGATGAGTTCCAAATTTAAGCTTAAACTATTTAAGCATCACAAGTGTCATCTTTCATTCTATTCGCTGAAAATACCTAATTCTTTAACCCCAAAAAGAACACCCAATTCGGCTTACATTGATGACCAAAATGTACATTCGGTCCGTGGCCCGTCCTCACAAAGGACGCTCAGCTCTAATGAGGCAACAAGGCACATAAACTTCCTGATTTCAAGTTCGTCTGTGCAAATCAATGAGTACTCTGTCATATGCAGAATGTGTAAAGAATTCTATGTTTTGTTGAAGGTCAAAATAATTGGCTGCAATCTGACGGATAAAGAAAACAATTGTACTCAATTGCATGTGCCCATGATTTTTCACATGGGAGGCTGGTTTGGATTCAATTTTTCCGTTAGCTGATTATCTTATATGAAAAGAGAGAATGTACATGAACTGGAGATGCATGTTTCAAGGAGAATGTTAAAAACTTAATCATGGTCCTGGAATCATCAATAGCTTTCTACAACCAAGAAGGGAGAGGAGGAAAAATGGAGAAAATTTTAAGCGAAAGGGGGCCATGTCAAAGTGATGGAATGAAGAAAATGAGACGTTTTATGAAATAAAACACAAATTGAAGGAAGAGAACTCATTCGAGTTTCATTCAAGTATTATTGCTTACAATGAAACAATCTCTATGTTGGCATATTGCTTACTCGTATTAAGATTACAAGCTCTTTTATGAAATTGGAGGAAAGATTGTTCAAACAATTGACGCTCATAAGAGCATTTTGACCTAACAGAGTACAACAGTAATATAACTATAATAAGAGTGATATAGCTAAACTGAAAATTTACACTTAATAATTTACCAGAAAAAAGAAAATTACACTTGATATAACTTCGGGAATGTACCTAGGATCCTCCAGTTAGACAAGTGGAAAAAATAAAATCTCTAACCCAGATTAAAAGGGGAAGGGAAAGCATCCTAAAAATTTTGGAGCTCAGAGATTGTTCTAGGGAAAACAAAACCTAGGAAATCCCTTGAGGGCAGATTGGAAGAAAAATTATGCTAGAAGTTGCATGCTCTTGACGGAAGCAGCATATTGAAGAATCTAAATTGATGACAGTTTGAGGAAATAGAAGAAGATGTAACATCTGGAGGTTTGACAAAAACAATTATTCGTATGGAGACAAATGATAAGGTCTTTCGGGCATTAAAGATTAAATGAATGCTATGTTATGCGATTTGCATGAGCACATTGCTTATTCTTCATTAAATTTATCTATGAGAAGCAAAGTTCAAGGAAAAATCAAAAAATTTTTAGTTATTGATATCGCATGCCCAAAATTCCCTTGATGAAGGAACTCACATTCTTAACCAAACTACCAATCAAATAGAGAATCTTTTGAAAAACATTCTAAGTAAAGATAGATCACAACTCTAAGGGACTGAAAGACAATGTTTGCAGCAGAAGACAGGTAGTTACATTAGTTTATGCCTCTGCCAGTATATTAAGACAAGTGCACATCAACAACCAAAAGAGCAACATGACTAATCTTCAAGGACATGGACAATTTGTTGCCGAATCTGATTAAAATATAATTACTCAACCACCTTTTGAAACACAACATCCGCATGTAGTGAACATAGAATAGTCATTATTAAACCAACAAAAAGGGGGGGTCAAGGAGAGAAAACAGTGGAAAATGTAATAGAGAAATACATACACGAACATTACATATTTTCTTACCTGATTGAAGATCCAACATCTGCACCAACATAAAAGAAATATTGATCCCAGCTACAGCAAAGGGATACTCCCATTGGGATCTGTTCCCATATCTTTTATGCAACAAATCATGGAAAACAACCTGTTACAATTGTGCGACAACGGGAAAAGGATAACAAATAAGTTGCACAATCTTCTGATGGCATATCTTTAAAAATGAATAACAAATAAGAAGACTACACAACGTGGACTCTGTTCTACATCAATTTATCATCATGGATAACAAAATTATTTCCAAACCATTAAGTTGCACAATTTTCTCAAAGACCTTCAGGTGCGGATATCATCTTTGATCTTTTCAGTGAACGTTTACGTAGTAGTCCCGTACACTCAGAAGGCAATCACTATCACAGACTACTAAACCAAGAAAAAAGTCTAGATTCAAGAATTTTAAAAGAAGTCATGCAATGAAATTCTAATTCTTGGTTGCCTCACATCAATGAACATGAGGTCCTTGAAAAAAATAACACCAGATACAGAACCCATTCCTCTATTCCAGAACTTTCTAGAGTTTGAAGTGAGATCAGAAAAGTCACCTAGGAGTTAAATTAACATTAAGAATCTATTGACCAATTTATAAGAACAAAGAACAGCTCCTGGACTTTTTAGCACCCATGTTGGACATGGCCAGCCTACCTTATCCCAAATAAAGCTGTTCAGAAAGAACATTGAATTATCACATTCCAACTATGCGGTAATATCAAACAGAATGAAGACATAGAGTAAACCCCTTCTGATGAGTTTTTAACCAACCGAAGGAAATCTGGAATTCACTTGAATTTATATTCTAGTAGGCAACTCAATGGAAACAAGTCTATCACCAGTGTCCGAAATATTGAAAAAACTACCAGACTTGGTAGTTGTAGCAATCAATTATTTGAAACAAAAAGGCAACGACTAATAATAAAAGAAACACCCAAAAGACCAGCAAGGTAACTAATATACCACTAAAGAAAGACTTGAAGATTATACATACCGGGTAGGTCTTGGCAAAAAATATCAGATTTTCTAGTGATATAAATCCTCCACCCCTGACATCCAACAGGCCCCAAATAAGCACATGTTAGCAGTATTATCATATCAAGGCTACTTGAAACAAACCAAACCTGAAGTCTGTTGAAGGATCAGATCCTTGCCAACCCATCTCCTTCCACATTTCAGATTTGAGAGGAGGGAGCTCCTTATCAGGATAAGCTAGCCTCCACAACTGCTTAAGTGCATCCTGCAAAAGCGCAAAGAAGAAATTATTGATTACATGTTCAATTTAGTATATCACTTTAATACTGTGGAAGATTAAGCATTTTCCGTCAGAAACATTCAGAACAGAAGGAAATAGAGCCAAAGACATGTTACATCAAGGGTGGGCATCCATTCATTTGGTATTCATAATTGGCTAATTGGCTGAAAAAATGTCTTTGGAATGCATGCAAATATTACAACCATATGCCCCATAGACAAACAGTAATTCAAAGCCTAATATGTGCCGAGTAAGCATTGCCGCTACCTCCAAGAAATATACACAACCATATCCTAATGGAAGACTGATGGTGCTGAAGATATTTTCCTTCTTTATAAAAATAAGTGCATTCAGAATACTTGCGTGCCTTCATGAAAAATGTGTCACACTTCCTAATGGAAGAAGGGACAGTGGGCACTACTCAAACACGAACAAAAGCTGGGTTCCTACTTGGAAAGATAGAAAGATAATATATTGTTCGAATTGCCAAAAGACCAAAAAAGCAAATCCTAAATAATCTACCTCTTGACCACTGAAAACTATAAGGGCTGTCTACTAACTAGTTACTCTAAACAGGAAGCTAGAACCAAGCACAATTAAATGTAAGATAGTATGATTCTGAACCTCATTGGTCCGTGACATCCTATTTCAACCTGCAGAGCGAGGAAGAAGTTATTGATGATCTACATGGTTTTTAGTGATGATTTAGAGCAAGATGAACATGCTGTGTAGTGTTGAGCCAGAAGAACGTGAGGACGATGCAAGGTACCTTTTACATGCTAGACAAAATTTTACAACAAAAAAATGTAGAGGTCGTTTACAAACTAGTTAATCTAAAGATGGATCTAGAACCAAGTAAAATCCAATGTAATAAACACGTTCAGATCAGTAGTCAGATTCTGAACCTCAATGGCTTACGCCACCATAGTTCAATCTGCCATGCAAAATTTTGAGGAAGAAGTTATCGGTGATCTAGATGGGATGAACAAGCTTTTTACTGATGCTTTAGAAGAAACTGAACATGCTTTCTTGTGTTCAATCAGAAGATAAGCATGATATGTCTTCTCTTTCCTATGCTAGACAAAATATAAGATTTCCTATTATAGGCAAGTGATACCTTTTTGCAATTAATCGAACTAATTCAGTGATGCAACAACTTTCTTGGGTTGTATGATGCAGCTTAGTCAGACTAAAATTACATGATGATATGCGTGTCAACCGAGCACGATGGCAACATATGATCCATTTAGCTGACCCACATTGCAGTATGAAGGCTTCTTCTTGTTTAAAATATAATGAAACATTGCCTTGAGTTTGATGCCATAAGGTCCTAAGTGTGACGTAAACTATGATGAAACTTTGCCTTGAGTTTGATGCCCTAAGGTCCTAAGCGTGATGCAAAAGATCCCCAACTGAGATCCCCAAGGATTTTTTTTTTTTTTTTTTTGGAATGGATGATCCCCAAGGATGATTGTTACCAAAATTTTCACTTTAATGAAATCGTTTCACCTTATTTAATCCAAGTTTCTACTTAGGTTCTGCTTCTAACCGCCTAAAAAATTGCAAAATATCTGTTTTATCTAACTCAGGAATTTGCTGCATCATCATCTCTAGAAAAGTAAGGAAGAAGAGATACGAACGGCAGAAGTAGGAACTTGAAACAAGAACCAAAAAAGATTCAGAAGTAGAAGTTCTAGGAATTACAACCAGGTAGCTTTTAAAACACCGAGAGCAATGGTGTGTAAACCAAAAGAACAATCCAAACTAGAACTCCATAATTTTCCATTTCAACTAAACCTTAAGCTATTAGGCAACAACAAACATACAAGACTATGAAAACTTCAAGGGCAATTGCTCAGAAATGAAGCAAAACTAAAAGGTTGAACAACCAAAACCAGAGAACGTGTAAGAAACTAAAGATTGCTAATCCGTATTGAATTTTCCTAAACGGACAAATCCAAAGGACCTAAAAAGATACGGAAAAGAGTGACAAAAGAAAACAGGAAACTACCTAAGGCAGCAGTCCCTCCCCCGAGAAAACACATATAATCAGGGGAAAACCCTTCAAAGACTACACAAGACATATCTATTTGAGGCAACAGCATCAGTTCAATTGAAGACAATTCCTTGAGATTTTCCAGGGCACATGCTATAAGTACAGGATAACAGAAGCATTGGGTAATACACAAGAAAACTCAAATTCCACAACACAAACCTGATGCTGCAAACAAGTACCATCAAAAGGAACTGCCAGTCTTAGCTTTAGATGCTTTAGTCTTGCTTCCTATGACATCAATTCAAGAAACAAGAAAGAGAGGATGCATTACGCACAGGACCAGAAATGAACGAATTCATGGAAATAAGCTGTTGAATGATATCTTATTCTATAGAATAAAGACAACACTAAAGATGCTCAATCTATTCTGAAAGTCTGGGAATACATTATTTTAGACCTCAAATATAGACTCAAGATGAAGTTTAAAAGTTTCTCAGCATTGCAACAAGTCTTGGACAATATTACAAGACATTGCCTCAAGTTCTGAAGCATTTCCGTAGTCCATTCTTTTATTATTTCACAAAAGTTTGGTGGTTTCCACTTGCAGCCTAGTGACATTTGTGAAAGGTTTTTTCAAATTGTTGTGTAGGCAATAAGGGAGAAGGAATATCTTCTGTTTTTCATTGTTACCCAAAACTATATCAAATACAGGTTCATATTCCTCAATTCATAAAGACTGCCAGTTTTGTCTCTTTCTAGTTGTATGCCTGGGTCATAAGCCACAAAATTTGTCAGGGAGATGGATAAATGTATCCGTGAGGGTTATCTCCTTCCTTTGACAGTTCTCTAGTAGGACTATTTTTAGAGAGTCGAACTGTGGTTCTTGCACATTCTTTTTAGGCTTACCAACAGAAACTTCTTGCTCTAATTGAAAATATGATGACAAGAAGCACGATGCCAAATGGAAGGCTAATCTATTAAATGCCATTTAGAACCAACTACAACTAAGCTTTTATTTCATTATGGGGATGACCATACGGATCATATGTTGCACATGCTTGCACCTATATTCATTAAATTCAACTAAATGTTCGTAATAGAGTCTTTACTATTAATTCTAGGCTAGGACTCCCTATTACACAACTAAAATCATAACGATTACAATTTATATACCCATTACACAAACATTTGAATCCCAGAGCTACCAGAATTCCAAGATACAGATTAAACAACAGATTTTGATTTAGTGAACGAGTACAAATCCAGATAATACAACTTTTCAAGCGAGTACTCATGTATATGTTACAGCTTTCAGAAGTTCAGAAGAGGAAGCCATCCAGGAAAATCACATTTTAATTTTAACTATCTTCCCCATGTTAGTCTTATGACTCCGTCCTCTATACAGTTTAAATCTAGCTGAGATTCTGGGAAATAAACAGTAGACTGAGACTGAGGTGCAAAGGGTTATAGTGAGGGAGAAAGTAGGGAAGACAAGTTTTGAGTTTACAAAATTACCCTTAAAAAACCATGGGTGCAACACAAAATCTTTTCACAATGAGACACAAGTTACCAGACAGACAGAAATTTTATGTTTTCATAATATAAGGGACTGATTTTCATCATTTTATCTGCCAAAGGAAACCGCTATAAAACCTACATGTAACTCATAATTCTATGTCCTCTACTCATGCTACAGAGGCATCTAAAGCTCTCTTACATGCATGACTATACCATACAATACATGATCATCTCTTCTTCTATTTTTTTAATTTTTCCCAGTCTATTTGTCGTGTAACACTTCTTTCTAGTGCATTTGCTACTACACTCCTACCCAATTTACTTTGCAGGACATCATATCAATATTCTTAAATCTCCTTTCAGAACCAATACTTTTCAAGCAAGTTCATAGTTGTAAACAATGTAGCCACATTGAAAACAAAGAAGAAGTTAATATCAGAACATCACAGACAAGACTCTGAACTAGATATGAATCGCAAGGAGATAATACCTGTAAGGAACTCAATGAAGGTGGTAAATTCTTCTGTATTGCTCCATCTTGAAAGGGTGAAATAAAGGGCAGAAGCCTTCCAATCAAAGATCCAGAACCAAGAACAATGTTTGCTACAAAAGGTAAATAAATTGTCATTCTCAACTAAATGGCCGCCTAGGTATTGTAAACTAAGTCAATATCATGTTTTGCTAACTTTGAGAGCATAAATCCTCCAGCACATTCTGTGTTGTATTTGACTCTCTTGTTACAAATTCTTAGCTAACTCCAATAAGTGATGTAGTATTTTCCATACTTTAAAATAGCTTCTCAAAGATTAATGAGTATTATACAAATTCACTGGCTTAAGAAAGCGTAGTGTACATGGGCGAATCATGATTGTCATTATTGTTTATAGCTTGAACTGATATTATCAAATTATAGCTATACAACAACTGAACCTTTTTCCACTAAACACATCAGTATCAAATCTTAAGGAAACCAATGGACGCAAGTAAACAAAGGAGGAGCTCAGAAAATTTGAGATCAAAGTTCATATTGGAGGATGAATACTTTTCTGAATTCTCCGTCTTCCTCATTTGACACAAATTTAGCAATCTCAGTAACTTAAACTCAACTTAACCCAGTACTTAAACTCAATAACTTCTCAGTACTAGCAAGGCTTTACATATTTGAGGACCCACAGTACTGCCGAACAATATGACAATATTTAATGGTGCTTTATACATTCTATCCACATGTTAAAGTAGTAAATTGCTAATCCACAAGGAAAATGTACAAAACTCAACTTGAAATTTAAACCTCGCAAGATGTAATCACTAACAGGCGTAGAAGTACAGATTAAGGCATCTGTCAGACTATTTGCTAACATGCAGAGACAACATTCAAAAGTTAAAAAATGTGCCATATGCAAACATAATAAGATTGGATCTGGAAGCTACCTTCTTCTGTTCCTCAACTTCTGCTCATCTATTAAAAGCTTTTAGGAGCCCTAACTTTACATCATCATGATCTTAAAATAGAAAAGCCTTAGTCTTTCTCTTCTTTTTTAGTGGGAAAACCTCCAATTAATATTAAATGTCCAAGTTTATGACGTGTTATTTGACAAAGATGCACACGCTTGTCAGGTTCGTGTGACGTATCTGAGAACCCTTGAACACCCGAAATGGTTTCTTTTTTGGATTTTAACAAGAACTGAACTATTTTCTCAAAGAAAGAACAACTGTCAACGAACTCGTGAACTGCATTTTTTGAGAACTCAATGAGATTGCAGCAGTTGGTCAGTATCTTGATATCTTGGTATCCATACTATCCAAAGATATCATGATAGGATCTAGAACTTTTTTTCTTGACAGTACAATCTTCCAGATTGTTGGAAAAGTAAGATCTGGTCTGCGTCCAGTGGTTGTCCTGGGACCCGGGAATGTCCGTTCCACTATATATCGACTCCACTATATCGACGTCTCTGTTCACTCAGTATCTTCTTCCTTTACATGAAAAACTTAATCTCCTTCCTCTTAAGTTCATCTTTCGATCAGCTTCTTCTAATCTTAAAATATAAAGGATTTCTGAAAGCCTTTTTTGTCTACCGCACAGTTATTCTGATCTTAAATTTTGAAACCTTATCCTTCCTCTTCTTTAATGCCTAAACCCTACAATTAACATTCAAACTGTCCAAATTTACATGTACTTGGATACCACACGACATGTTACATAGGTTTCAACATCTGGCAAGGTTCAGAATGGTTCCTTTCTAGGGATTCAAATGGAGTGGCAGTAACTTTTAACAAAGGAACTGCTCAGCTAGCTCATGAACTGCATTTTTTCAAGAATTGGCAGATTGAAACAATTGCAAACCAAAGAAAAGAAAAAAAAAAAAAAAAAACAACAAATGGGAGGGAGGAACGATCGCAAGAAAATAAATAGGCAATTTTCATACCTAACCATTGAGCCCATTGTGCGATCAGGTGAGAAAAAAGCATGGACCAATGCATGGTTTCTCTACTCCGTCCTCCATCCATAAGATCTGCAAGTGTAGATTCCTATAAAAGACACACTAAAAATAAGCCAACCAACAGAATACAGCCTAGTTTATTCCTTCCTTCCCTTAAGATTCAATTGTTCTAAGAGAATTCTTATCTTCTCCACTCATGATTTCATAATTCATATTATTCCCATAACTTCTTGGCTCGGGGTTGTTGTCACAAACTTGAAACAAGAGGTTGAAAAGTGCACTTTTAAAGGCTTAAAAGACTCTGTGCTCAACATATAAATCATAAAGAGTCAAACAAGACGTCTTCACGACACTGTAACTACCCGACTCTTCCCAGCTAAACTAAAGGGATCTGAAATCATCAACAAACCTGAGGAATCTCATCATTGTCATGGTTTCTGTTCCCGAGTAGCGGCTCATTCAAAGAATCCATTTCTGAAGTCTCCAAATGCTCATGCCTTCTCCCGTCAACGTCCCCATGGTGAAGTCTTCTCCTTAATGTTCGAGATGCCATTATCACGGATTAAAAGTACCCCTATCATAATATCAGAAATCAGCACCCCAGAACTTTAGCAAGAAGTTGGCTTTTCCAAATAATTGTACAAAAAAAAAAAACCTAAGGTAATCAAGTACATTATTCCGGACACTCCAGTCTATCATTAACAACAATACCAAATCACAGCAGCCCCGCCAAAACCCTTCAATACATTTACCTAACAAACGAACTACACCACAATACTTATTGCAGAAACCGTAAAATTGGAACTCGGATAGTAACTTACCGACAATTTCATCGTAAGAAAACACAAAAAGCGAAAAAGAGAGCAAAAATTATTAAAATCTACAACACAATTTTGATTGACCGAATTGGGGAAATTCTAAATTTTAGCAATTGAACAAGTTCGACTTCACCTCGTCTTAGGAAGAAGAGAAATGGCGTACCTTATGTGAAAAAGTTGTAAGGACCGCACCGCAAAATGGCAAAATGCAAATCGAGCAGTAGCATTTAATCAAAACCCGTTGCTCTTTTAGAAATCCTTTTGATTCGTCATCATGTCTAAGTTCGTCATGGAGTTTCCTTCAACCCCAAGGACCTCTTTCTGCCTAATTAAGAATAAATAAAAAAACAGGTAGGAAAAGATATTTTAAGATTTTTTTTAAGAGAGAGATAGAGAGAGAGCACGCTTCGCGCTCGTTTTAATTTATTATTATTATTATTGTTATTATTTTGGCTGTTTTTCTTAATTTTTCTTCTACAGATGCACTTTAAAAATTATGCAAATATGGTTTTTAAGAAAATTACTTATATACCCAAAAACATTACGTGTATTGAACAATTATTTTTTTTAGAAAACTTACTTGGTTTATAGTATAAAAACTTACTTGGTTTAGTAATAAATCCTCACATAGTTAGTATACTAAAACCTTAGGCACTGATATATTAAGAGAAATTTGATATTTCGAGATCAAAAGTTTATGTCAAATTTCCCCTTTTATTAAGACTTTTATACATTTTCATAGTAATTTCTTCCTTAATTTTATCATCTTCTTTATGCATAAGGACTAGCGCAACATCAACTACGGAACCGTTACTATGCCCATCTTTAAGAACAACTACTATCATGATATTCAATTATTGATAGTCAGTAGATAGAAACGCAGAAAATTTACTATTTTCTCATATTGGTAAGTTTTGTGCGCTATCACGTGTACTCTCTTTCTTTTTAGAAATAAATTGGGTATCATCGCCACCATATACAACCCTCGATCCCTACAAGCTAAATGTAGCCCATATAATACTTAGTGACACTTACTTTATAACTATTTTGTCATTTCCATTATCAAAAAAAAAAAAAAAACTATCATTTTAACATTTTATCATTTTTCACATTTTATCTTTTTTTTAAATACATGTTTCAACCAATCAAACGACAATGGGAATATGTCTTAGTGCCAAATTTGCGCAAGAAAGGGGCTTAAAAATATAAAATGATACGATTCATTCAGTTTTATGTATTTTTTAAATACTGTTCTTGGATGATTTCGTGCTTGACCAATGGTTTGTGCGAGCTTGATTTGCGTGCCACCCAGTCGGCCCGCACCTATTGCACGCGTGCAACCCATCAGTTGCACACGTGAGCTGGCCGCCTGAACTAACAGTCAACCGCAACAACAACACGTAGCGACCGGTCGATTTGCGCCTATTGTACGCATGCAGCGTAACGGTTATACGCGAAAAATTGGGCGCCTAGTCCAGTACTTGGGCCCAACTGGGCACATCTAAACTTTTTTTTTTTGAACCACGGCGGTACCTGGCGGGGATGACACCCGATTTATTAATGTAAAGTAAAGAATCTGGCAGTACTTAAAATTTACCAAGATACAGAAATAGGTAAAAAGTTATATCCGAGAGCATCTATTACAAATTAAACCCGCATGATCTAACCACCTTACTGCATAGTAAACTCATTAAGGACCCTGGATAACGACCATGGAAATCTTCTAGCCTCATTATCGCACAACCTTACTAATGAGTTTACCTATAAGGAACCTGATTAAAAATCAGTGACCTCTTGCGCACTCCACTTTCCTGATGAAACTACCATCAAGGATGTTTGCAGCAGTCATGATGATTCATGATATATTCCTATATAAGGTTTGCTAAAAAGAAAAATCTGCCAAATTACTTATAAAACTTATTTGGATCTAATGTAAGGAGAAGATCTCTGATCCAGAATCAACAAACTTTTAATCTGCGTTGGCACAGTTCCAATGTGGTCATAAATGGCATTGATCCCTGATGAGGCCAATTTTCAAAGACCATCCGTAACCGAATTTGCCTCTCTATAAATATGAGTGACTGAATATTTCCTGCGCTTAAGGATTGATACAATCTCTTTCAACTCAAATAAGTGTCTCCATGGAAAGTTAACTTCATTCTGCAGTATGTTAGCAACAAATTTATTGTCTGTCTATATTAGGACTCGTTCTAAATTCAAGTCATTGCATTTCCGGACTCCATATAAGACTCCTCGAATATCCGCTACCAAAATAAATCCAACATTCTGAAACCTCGCTTCACCATACACAAATCCTCCACCTTCTCTTCGAATGACAAAACCAAAGCCTGAGTTTCAAGGGGCGCCCACTGCCGAGCCATCCGAATTCATAATATACTCATGTAAACCAGGAGGTTCCCTGATGGCAATCTCGTAGACGAACTAAATTTCATTAATGGAACTATCAACCAAAAAGATCTTAAAATTTGTTTAAAAGTGAAACCCTAAAAGAGTCTGGAATATCACAAATAAACAAGACCGTTGAAAAGAACATTCTCTACCTTATGAACTCAAACAAAAGATTATAACACAAAATCCAAATAACTATTCGGATTGAACACTCAAAATCATTTAAGATTGTACCATTCAATATAATTGAACAATTACCCATATAATTGACGACACTTATAATGAGCAAGTCATTCAACTACAAACAAACCACTCGAATATGCTGCGATATTGGAATAGACACATTCATAACCAAGGCAATAAGCATACAAAACACATTACTCATCATGCTATTTCGAAACAAAATCATTTATATCAATAGATAAACCAACAAGGTTTTCCATAATCTAGAGACACAAATACTCGAACAACTAAGCAATATGATAAGCAAATTAGTTTTAAAACAATTAAATCATGCAATATGCTCAACATGATAAAACAGTTTAACTCAAAAAACCAAGTCCCGTTAGGCTCTAAGAACGAAAGAATTGACTAACCATCCAACTCTTTCAAAACAACGAGATCCGCTCATTGTAATAGAAAAACCATAAAGGCTGAATCGATTAACTCGACTCAAAACATTATTACACTCAATTTTCGACTCTTTATTGAAGAGAATCAGCCACCTATTTATAGTCAAGGATTCTTGCTCTCCAAGACTAAAACTAAACTTTAGGCTAAAGAAAAAGGCCACTTTCCTTTCCCTACTACTCGATCCATCACATAGAAAGGAAAGACGTAGTTAATGTGACTCAAACTCTAACTTAACTTAACCATTAGGCAAAGTAATTAACTTTACTTCTTTTCATGGCAAAAGACTCAAATACCCTTAATGAAATAAACCCTAGGGCGGCCATGCATTGGCTTTCTTAAACCCTGATGGGTGTCGAGAATATTATCCTTATTTAATCTAGAGTGTCAAACCCGAACATTAGACTTGGCCTTACTTTTTTTCTTGTGAGTGTGGTGTGGTAGAGTTGAAACTTCAATGTAGAACGACTCTTGTTCCATTGCAAATTCCATATCAAAATTGTCATCCTCTGAACCATTAAAAGCATGATTTGGTTCTCCATCAGAAGTTATTTCTTCAATCGAAAAACTTGGATTATAAGGAACTCTATGCTTCCCGAACTCCGTAACATCTTTGGATAAGTATTGGTTATGATTTTTTCCAGTGGTTGGGGCTGAAATTGGGAGCAAAACTTGTAGAAGAGGGATTTGTGGACTAGAGCTATTTTTGTGGGCTGAAATTTGTGGACTAGGGAATAAGAGGCAGCTTCGGGATTTAAACCCTGATTGGTGTCGAGACCACCAAAATAAACCTATTTCAAACTTGTATTAAGTGATAAGAAGGATCGATCCGACAGAGACGGGAAACACTTAATGAAAATTGGGATCCAGAACAAGAAGACAACGCAGAAGTAAAAACAGCAAATTGGCAAGTGAATTTATGACTTGGCAAAGTGACAGTATCCTATGGCCGTCCTCCACTCTACTCTATATGCGTATGTAATGTTTTTTTTGGCTCTCTATGTGGTATGAAATTGTATTCAATAATGCACATAAACACTGTAAGGTCACTTTCGTTATTCCAAACAATAGTCCTAGCAGCAACAACCTAACTATCTTCAGCCCTTATGATTGTCTCGTGCCAAACAACTAATTTCAGTTGTTGTTTGAAACCTTGGGCTGTTACCCCCTCGTCACCGGTTAATCTTAAACATTCTAAGTTAAGTTTACCTTTTCGGGGTTCCCCTAACATGCAAGCACAATTAGTTCGAATGGCCTGTTCAATCTAAAAGGATAATTAAAACTCTAATACTAAGCATACAAATATCATCCAAGAGCATGAATCAATACATACTTATATAGAGTAGAGGGATTAGACCTTAGAAAATGAGTTTAGCTACTCATGGAGCGAAGCTCAAACACTACAAAGTTCAAATGTTGAGAATCCTTCATGTTTACAACAGATCGTACAGAAAACAGGGGAAGAGTAAAGGCAGGGAGTGTGGTGAGTGCGGGAAAGAGTAAAGTCAGGGAGTGTGGTGAAGTGCAGTCGACTTTGCAGAGTCAGCTTCTCACTTCCCCAAGTGACGGAGCTGGATGGATAATTGTACCTAGGGGTGATTATTACAGAGTTGTAACACTAGTCTTTAATTTATAAGTTTGCAATAATGATATGGTTATGGTTGTGTTACCTACCTTGTTTTCGCAAATAAGGGACCTATAATATTGTATTCATTGGCAGTTGCCGATATCTAATAAAATACTATCTTTACTTTATGTTATGACCCTTTTACCTTGATAGTTTTAGTGGTTAGCCAAAGCGGTAATCACCCCGGTTCATTGATCTATAATTATTTTGATGAACGTTAACAAAAAAAAATGATCGATAAGCTGGGGTGGTTACAACTGCACCATTTTTGCATATAAACGTTATAAGTTATAGTTTTCTTCTTGGTTATTCACTCGCTTAAATGGGAAGAGGTTGCTCCGGTTGCTTGGTTAAAGCATTTTGATTCTCATTCTTGCTTCTGTTGATCTTCCAGTTGATATATTGGGATTATTATGGTGAGCTGTGAACCATTTGAACCTCGAGTTCCAAGTCATCAGAAGCTTGTCAATGAGTTTAATCAGAAACAGATCGGCGACACCAGCTCTGCTAAGTTGGAACCAGTGGAGATTCCAAAATCTCCGACAGACTTCATTGATTGCCTCTATCTACACATTTATGTGCAGCTGATTTTCATTTTGCTGTTTTGATATGTACATGCATTTTTCTATTCCATATTCAACTAGTTTCTGTTGGGTTAATGTATTTTTTTTTTGTTTAGTAAATTGATTTGTATAATGTGTGATTGGCGCATGGTAGTGATTGGTCTATGGTATGTTTTCAGGAGCTAGAATGCTATGGATTTTGTGAGAAAGAGACTACAAAAGCATACAAATGTTGAACGATGCCTCATGAAAATAGCCAAAGACACAAAAAAGAGTTGCACTATAAATAAATTGATTGTAGTGATTGTTTGTTTTCACATGGATCCACCCGTTGCAACAGCGCAGTGCAAAGGCCAAGAGTCAGGAGGAATATTTCAGCTGAGGAACTTGATTATCTAACATTCTGCTTGAAGGGTACATTCCCTGTTGGTTAGTTCCAATATTTGGTGAGATAAAAATGACGGGCTCTGTAATACATTTGGCTAGGCATGTGGAAATGTTAATCAAATACATATATCACATTCATATTGCGGATTTAAGACCTGCGATCAAGCTCAAAACCTACAAAGATAATGGAAAACTTGGCGAGATGTTGAAATTTGGTTGTACTTCTTACATCTTTGCTGACATTTGGGATAAGCGTCGGGTACTTAAAGGTATGCATCACTGACCGTTCTTTTTTTAATATTATTATTATTCTACTTATTGTTTCTATTTTGTTTTTGGTAAGCTTTAGGTGAAAGTAAAATGCCAACAACATTTGATGATCATAGCAAGTACTTACAATATGATCATTTATATGTGATTGTTTGTTCCGTATGCCAAGATTATTTGACGATAGTTGTTTGATGTGAATAATAACTTATTACTGTTCCGTGTAAGAACCACAAAATCAAAATTAAAACGACTTAATGTGATCGTCAAAGAATAACTTCTAACTGACAACTACCAATATGGATGCTATCCTGGCTCAATTTTGAAAACTTATATCCTTTGTATGTTCCATACTGAATCATTGTATTATATTTCATATCATTCTTTTTTGACATAAGTATGGCTTCTAAGCTAGATTTTGGGATCTCCTCTGCAATGATTAGATATCAGATGATATACTTTTCAATGGTGATGACAGTTTGGGGATTTCATTTGACTTGTTGTTTTACTTGCTTAAAGCTTTTGCACATCATGTTGTAATAGTCTTGCCTTTTTTGTTTTTCCAAGTCATTTATCTTTACATATTGAATAAAAGAAAGAGATAATCATTGAGCAATCTGGTTGATCAATTTGGCCACAACATTCCTATACAGTATTTGCTAGAGTTGTCTAGGTCATACATGATTGAGCTGTTGGTAAATTCAGGTCGAATCTTTATATGGCTATCCCATTCTTTTACAAAATGCCCCACTCTTTTACATAATTACTATGTGTTACTCTTGTAGGTGTTAGTCTTTTGCATACTACAGCGATCAACAATGGTGGAAGGCCGGCGGGATCCTCCGGCGACAAGCGAAGGACAGGAAATCCAAGTTTTTCGATTGAAGAAATAAATTCTGAAGGAGAACCAAATCATGCTTTTAATGGTTCAGAGGATGACGATTTTGATATGGAATTTGCAATGGAACAAGAGTCGTTCTACAGTGAAGTTTCAGCTCTACCACACCACAATCACAAGAAAAAAGCAAGGCCAAGTCTAATGTTCGGGTCCGACACTCCTCTAGATTAAATAAGGATAATATTCTATTAAGTTTATAATTGTACTTGATATATGGTTTAGTATATTCGTTGCCCTATTTTTCCTTCAACATTTTATATAATTCTTATTTTATAAAGAAAACTCTTGTCGGTGTTGTCCTTGTGTAATGGGGTGGTATCCTATTCTAGCATTGTTAATATCTAATTTGGGTTCACTTCTTCTCCCAAGGAGTTGATATTTTGCACTTGATATGATGCGATCCTAGATAGCCCGTTGAGTGTCATACCTAGCTATGATGGTCATTACACTGATTGTGATAACATAGGGGGTGTATGGTACCATATTGATGATGGAATTAAGGACGATGGAAGATTGAAACCAAAATATGCTTCGCGTTCAAGTCTCAAATGAAGTCAAAAGAATCACGTCGAAATGATGGTTAAGCAAATGAGGTAGACGAGAAAGCTAACAAGGTGTGCATCAATGATTTAACCGAGAAGAAGCGATTGATAAAGAGGAATGATGTGGACATCCTTGGTGATCAAGCTCAAAGACATGTTAATGTTTAACCAAGCAATCAAGTTCAAGCTCAAAGAGTGATTCAAGATCCATTAGCCAATATTCGAGATCCTATGACAAGGTCTCGAAGTAAGAAAATGAATGAATCTGATAGCAATCCGTGACAAAACCAATCTTTAAGGAAAGATCAACTTTGCTAAATCGGAAAGACAGAGATTTGTAGGCAGCGGAATTTGGAGAATTTGGATTTAAAGACTCAAAAACACACGAAAAGCAAAGAAAAGAAAAGATATTTGATCTCATGTGGATCAATTCACGAGTTCAATGGTAGAACAACCCAAATCAAGAATGAAGAGAGCTATTTCTAACCAAGCAGAGACCCCTTGGAAAATTGTGTAGGAAAACCCAATAGATATGAGATCTATGAGCTTAAATATCAAGATTCGAAAGAACCAATGCTAAAGACGCCACTATCAAGTGAACTAAACAAGATAGATAAGTCTAACAATTGTCACAACACATATGCAACAACTAAACAAAGAAGTCCTCACAAGAACTCCACGAAAGGAATAAAATCCTAACCAATTTCATTCAGGAAAATATCAATGACACAAGGTGTGTTGGACAAGAGAATTTCGGTCGCTATTTATAGAGGGGGTGGCCGAAATTTCTTCCCAAGAAGTAGAGGAAGAATACAACTCTTCACCTCTATTCCTATCTCTAAGAATTTGAAATGAAATCAAACTCTAAAGACTCCTAGTTATCTTAAGTGATAAGATAACGAACCTAGACACTTCTACTAGTCTTAAAACATTTAAGACTTGTAGAAATTAATTAAAAGTTAAAATACAAAGAGATAATCTCTTAGAAAGATTCCAATGGATAGAATCTCCCTTGAGTTAAAACTCTATCATCATCTTCTTTGTAGAGTGATCTTAGCCATCCATCTTGATGTAGTCTTCATCCAACGATTGAGTAGACATCAAAAGTTAACTCCTTATTGTAGGATAACTCGAAAATAAGATAAAAAGAATCATCCCAAATATTATCCTTTAAAGAGATAAAGTCTTATCTTTCAAAGAAATAAAATTTGAATGATCTCACCCCTAAACCTTAGGGATTAATTCGACCAACATGAGGATGTGTAGCCGGCGGTCCTTCCTTGGAATGAGGGCCAAAAATTCTTCTCTCCAAATGGGCCAAATCCATTTGGTGTCACTTGCAACAAATTAATAGTCTTGGGCTTGTAATCTTCAAGCTTAATTTCCTCCTTAGCCCATGTAGTAGTAATTAGACTATTAAGTGATTTATTCATCCTCTTGCGTCTAGCACGAGTCATTGGTCCAAAAATGTTCGAGAGTGGATCACGGATGTAAGGATTATTCTTAAAGCAGCATCTTTAGATCCTCCATTAGCATTCACGACCTCAACTTGCTCGTCCTCTCCATTATTGGCAGCAACATGTCCTTCTCCATTAGTGTTAGCTCGATGGTCTCCATCAGAATCTCTCAACAATTTGTTCATGAATGTTCAAGCTCTCAATGTGGATTCAATTCCATGGCTTTAATGCTTCTATTGGAGTGTAATTGAAACTTTTGGTGCACGTCGAGCTCTTGTTTGAGAACAAGAAGTCAACAAAGAAGTCGGCAAGATACCATTGAGTTCATGGCTGAGCCAAGAAAGTCGACAGGAAGGTCGACAGTAGCACGTCGAGCATTCTACCGATTGACAGCAAGGTCGATGCCCGCGGACAGAATTTTCCTAAACTTCCTGTTTTGTTTAGGAAAAGGATTTTTCAAAAATTTCAACCATGTGTCCGACTCTCCTTCACCTCTAGAAGATTCTAGATTATTTTAAATAATTATGACATGTGCAATTATTTATTTAAATATTATTTAAGTCTATATTAGGAAATTTAGGAAGTCAAATCCGATTCGAACTAGTATTCGATTTTCTTTTTGTCCAAGCCAACCTATGCCTATATAAAGGGGGCTTGGTCGACCAAAAACAAATGTCGTTGATTATTATTGATTTTTCAATATGAAAAGAGACGAAACTCTTTGTTCTTCTATTCTTTGTGAAAAATAATGCATTGCACGAATTATTTTGTGCTTTGTTGCAAGCGTGTACGTGATTTTAAGTGTTCTTCTCGTGTGGAGCTTTGTTACCCATTCATTGGAGCCTTTTAGCTAGCCATTCTACCCGTAAATCGAAGGGGTCGGGTTGTTAGAGAGGTATTCTAATCCGGTTGCTAGCCAAAAACACATTCTATCATCTTCTTGCCTATCCATCCTCTTTGGTGCAAATTTTTGTGGTTTGCATTGTTTCTTATTCTTCTTTCACCTTTTTGGAGTCTTCTCCATTGGTTTGGCAAGTTATGATGTCTTGGGAAAGAAAAGCTTCCGCGTTTGAGGTAATTCAATCATCTTGCCTCAAGATTCGTATCAATTTGGCCTTAGAGTTTCGGTTTTTTATTTCTTGCATGTGTTTTGATCTTCTAAAGCTCATTTTTTGGTTGATCTCTGATGGTTCTCCTATAATATTGTGTCTTTTATCATAGATCTCACTATTTGCTTTGAAATTGTTCTTGATTGAGTGTGTTTGAAGTTGATTTATTAGATCCGGTTGTGCTGAAAAAAAATAATACAGTGTGGCCGCTTTGTGTTTGCTGCCTAGGGATTTTTATTTTCGAATTTTAGGGTTCCTTAGCCCTTAATACACGAAATTTATAGTATAAGGAAAGAAAAAAAAAGGAAAAAAAAAAGAAAAAGAAAAGAAAAATAAAAAGGCAACATATAAAAAGGAAAGTATCTTCTTTTTATAGGGATATTAAATCTTACCTTATTTAAGGAGATTTGAGGGTGTTCCTTCAAAAGGAAAGTATCTTATTTATTGAGGTATATCAAAGGTTACCTTATTTGATTTATTTGCAAATATTTTGGAAGTTTGGAGGTTAGGGTTTTCGAAAAAAATATAAACCCTAATTTGAAGTGTGTGGTGGCCGAGACTAGGATTTCATCTTAACCCTAAAACGAAGCTTGAATTTTCAGATTTGCTCCAAGTTCTACTAGTCCTTTTTGTGAGATCCAAGTTTCATAGTTGTAACTACTCAATCTATATTCGTGTTCTTCCATGGATATTGTTACAATTATTCAGAACCATACTTTTTAATCCTCTTAGTTGCTTGCACAAAGTAGTACTATTCTTTATTGCACTAAGGATTGAAGGACAAAGATCGTGGTAAGAAAAGAGAGAATCTGTCCCATACTAAATTCTAAACCTTCTTGAGTGATCTTGGGGAGTGATTAGTATAGTTGGGAGGGGTAACAAGGTAGTGAATTCTTCGAAATTTGTTTTTCTTGTGTGTGCTATGATGTTATGAGCAAGGTGCAATGGGATGCTATGATTATTATGATGATGATGGAGTTTATGATGAAGAGTATGATCAACGTTACTATAGTCATAAAGGAAAGTTTCCCAAGTTCTGTGGACGAAAAGATTAAGATAAATATCTTGATTGGGAGTCACATGTAGAGAGATTGTTTTCTTCTAATTACATTTAAGAGACTAAGAAAGTAAAATTCGTTGTGTCCATGTTTCGTGGAGATGAAACTACATGGTGGATGGAACTTGAACGAGATTGAAGATGGTATGGTGATCCTCCTATTGTTTCTTGGCGAGTGCTTTGTCAACAACTTCGTAAGCAATTAGCTCCTATGTTTTTGAAACAAGAGACCACTTTAGAAGCAAGAAGAATGGAGAATTTATAAGGAGAAGCAAGTTGCGTTGCAACAAATTTATGATTCTCAAGAGACTAGGCGACAAGAGATCATAAAACCTCAAGAGATCATGGAACAAATTCAAATTCAAATACAAAGGATTGTAGAGTCAACAAAGAAAATGGAATCTTCTTTCCAACAATATGCCAAGGAGGAAGAGCTTAGATTACAACACGTTGCAGAAGAGGAAGAGAAGAAAGAATGTGAAGAGTGGCAACATGAGTTCGAGCAAGAGATACAAGATTTGGTTTTGGAATTCGAACAACATAAATTCTTTCATTGTCTCTATTTCTTATCCACAGGTTGAAAGTGTTGTTGAAGAAAATAATTCCATGTCATTGGATTCCAATATTTTACATCTTGATATTGATATTGAGTAGTCGAATGATTTGCCATTGTTTGAAGAGGTTGAGCCCAAGATACAAGATTCTTCTTTGATGGATAATTTCTATGACATATTTGGTTCTATTAGGGTGCCTATGGAGGAAGAAATTCATCGCGCCTTAAACTCTATGTCAAGGTGGAATTACAATTAAATTAGTGGAGTTGGTTGTCATGGTGACTATATTATTGATGATGTTCGAGATACTAAGGCAAATGACAATAATGAAGTAGTAGTTATGAAGAATGCTCCTATCACAATGGATATTTCAGTCCCTATTATTCCTATATCATGTTTGCTCAAAGTGGTTGATGAACATGAAGATCCAATTCTCATGGATTCATACGAGG